CAGTATGACGTTGAGATCAGGGTATGCTGAAGCCTTGAAGCTGTCAATGCGCGCCATTTTCTTCAAGGGATATCAAGCTATGGGCCACTGGGAATCTTGTGCACCTGCCGAGGCATGGCAGAAAGACTTGCGCAGCGATCTTTGAATCAAAAGCTTCTCCTATTGCGGCTCTGCGGCGGGACCTGCTGTTGGACCTGGATCTTTGGGCCCTTAGCAAGTTGCAAACTCCTAGCCAACCCGGCATGGATGTCTCAACACGGCCCAAGAAAGTGTCGTTGTTTTTCAGGCAAGGATCTAGTGCCCACTTGCCCTCTAGATTGTTGCGGAGGCCCTCCTAGTTTTGATCAAGTTTTCCCAGGGCGTTCCTCTAAAGATGCTGCAGCTTTGGTCTGACCGATGCAGCTCCGTTGGGCTCCGGAGTTGATTTCAATACCTCAATGAGATGCAGGCACAATACACCTTCAAACAGCCCGAAGCGTTGATGGGGAGGTTGCTATCAGATCTCGTGTTTATCAACTCAAAAGGTTGACAAGTTGATCCCCACCTGATTTTCCTCATGGTTTCACAGCACCAAAAGCAGGAGGCGTAGAGGGATCACTTTCACCAACTCTCAGTTGCTACAGTATCATAGTATCTGCATCAGCCGCTGCCATGGTGTGAGTCATGCATTGAACAGCTATGCATGGAAGCAACTAGCGCCCCTTGGATGGCAAAGGTCTTTAGGGTCACCGAAAGAGATCGTCAGAAAATGAATGATATGAGGATTCAATAGCGGAATGAATATGTTTATATAGTTCGTTTTTTAGTTTGGAAAGGGCTGCATCCAAGGACCCATGCCAAAACTCCCATTTCCTTTCATTTTCATATGCCAGCATCCGTCCATTGGTTGATTTGCTTCGAAATTGACACCAAAAGTCAACCAAATTCTATCAAGAGTTCGATATCGATGATATCGGATGATGAATCGTATTTCTCGTAGCGACCTCACTGGCCGACACATAAATAATCATAACATAAATATCATAAATAGTGCTAAGCAGGGCCCCCATAATATTCTGTTGATCACCTCACGGGTGTTTCACTTTCCAGCTGCTGAGTTACCGTATAAGTTTGTGTCCCAGCTGCTAACAGCAGCTCTGGTGGATTTTTTTGGGACCTGAGATCCTTGGACCACCGCGCCCAAGGATTCTGCAGATTCCCAGAGTCTCAGCTTGCCAGCCCCTGGGCTGGGGCTGGGATGTGGTGGCATCAGCCCTTCAAAAGGTGACCTTTTTTTTTGGGAGGTTGGGTGTATCCCCGAGATTGCTGAATATCCATGACCTTGAAAAAATCCGGCTTAGCTTTCCGGTGACCAAACATGGAACCAGAGAAATGGATGCATTTGACAGCAACCTGATTGGCATGCAGATCTTTGTTGGGTACTGGAAATGCGTTCCCAGAATTTTTGCACTTTCAAGGATACCATCAAATCTTATCACGGCCATGCTCCAAAAGTCTTCGAGGCATTAACTTGACCCTAGACAGTGCTGCTCCATACACTTCTTTGTAGAGGTGCAAAAGGCCAAGGAGAACTTAATCTGCAAGATGTCAACTGCAACATTTTTGGGAGGGTCGTGGAATAATGATCACAAAGTCCATGTATGTACTCCATGGATTCCACATGTTAATTCATATATTTATATATATATATAATATTAATATTAATATACTAATGTGCAGCATACACACAAGAAAAGATGAATGAGCACTGATTTTACTCAAAGTTTCAAGATCTTGCAGCCATGGAAACGCTCGCTGACAAGATGCTGCCCTGTGGAGATGGGGATGAAGATGTGCTCCCAAATAAACGGTTGCTGAGATAGGTCGAGCAAGGTTTTGTTTTGGGCGGGACCATGCCCGAAGGCAAACCGGTGGACCCTGCCAACTGGGGCGTCGTTGGGTTGTTTTTATTTGGGACACTGTAGGTTTTTTTTTCCGATGAAAGATGGATGTTTCCTAAACCAATCCAATGAAACTATTCATTTCTCAATTTTTATGTCCTTCCTGGTGTCGCTGAACATGACTCACACGAACGTAAACACAGTAGTACTCGACACTGAATAGACGCACTTGTTTGGGATGATGATTCCGTTGAACTATTCCAGACCTTTGTCTAACTGAGGATTAACAAGCCTCCAGTTGTTCAACGGGAGTACCAGCTTGAATAGAATGTTATCATATGTTATCAGTATTTTTTGGGTCCCCCCAATAAATAGTCAAGGCATATTCATGCTGGGTTGACAATACCCGAGGCAACGTGTGGATGCTGCAGATGCGCACTCGCTGAATGTCAAGGGCTTGGATGGATCGACCCTTCTGATCCAGGCTGGATGTTTCATGGGGAACCAACCAACCCCCAAACGTGATACCCAATGGGCCCCAGTGAGAATCACCTAATGAAGGGCAAACATCAACCACCCACGACTAACAATGGTTTATTCACAGCTTATTTTTTGGGGGGGATATTGGGGAGGTACTTTTGGGGGGTGGTTGCATGGTACCTTGCGGTCATTTGTTGCATATAGCCACAGAAACCATGGCCCATTTATGGATGATTTACCTATTAACATAGCTATGCTAGACTACCAGAGGGTGCAATGATAAGATTCAGATGTCTCTGTGCCACCAAAAAATGGGATGATCCTCAATCTGCCGATTTCGTTGCGTATGGGACCCAGGTTGATGATGATACAACCGTGGAAGATGTGTACAAATACATCTCAGAAAAGATCGGTCTGAAACCAGGCAGAAAATTGCTGCTGACTTCGGGTTGCCGTATTCTTGATGCTTCCCGACCACTGCTGCCACAAGTGCAAACAAAGCGCAGATATGAGTTTTGTCGTACAGCGAATCAACGCGTATGAGGTTGCAAAGAGCTTTCGGAAAAACATGGAAGGTTGCGCAAAACACCATTTGACAGTTTCAGACTTGAGTGCGATACACACGATTACATCACTAGCCCTCGAATTCAATCAGAGTTTGGCGGGCGTGACATTGCCAAACAGCCTGCAGACTTTGACCTTCGGATGCATGTTCAATCAGAGTTTGGCGGGTGTGACGTTGCCAAACAGCCTTCAGACTTTGACCTTTGGACTGGAATTCGATCAGAGTTTGGAAGGTGTGACGTTGCCAAACAGCCTTCAGACTTTGACCTTTGGACTGTATTTCGATCAGAGTTTGGAAGGTGTGACGTTGCCAAACAGCCTTCAGACTTTGACCTTTGGAGATTTGTTCAATCAGAGTTTGGCGGACGTTACCTTGCCAAACAGCCTGCAGACTTTGACCTTTGGAGGTTCGTTCAATCAGAGTTTGGCAGGTGTGACGTTGCCAAACAGCCTTCAGATTTTGACCTTTGGAGATTTGTTCAATCAGAGTGTGGCGGGTGTGGCCTTTCCACATAGCCTGCAGACTTTGACCTTTGGACATAATTTCAATCAGAGTTTAGCAGGTGTGACGTTGCCAAACAGCCTTCAGACTTTGACCTTTGGAGATTTGTTCAATCAGAGTTTGGCGGGCGTGACTTTGCCAAACAGCCTGCAGACTTTGACCTTTGGAGGTTCGTTCAATCAGAGTTTGGCGGACGTTACCTTGCCAAACAGCCTGCAGACTTTGACCTTTGGATGTTCGTTCAATCAGAGTTTGGCAGGTGTGACGTTGCCAAACAGCCTTCTGACTTTGTCCCTTGGCTACAATTTCCAGCAGATTGTCCAAGGGGTCACGGCCTCGCGTGCGCACGCGCATGTCGGTCTCGCGTGCGCACGCGCATGCTAGTCTCGCACGCGCACGCGCACTAATTGCACGCCTATTTTTTCTCGCGCAGGTCAACGAAAATGACGTCTCGGCTGCGGCTCGCCTGCGCACGCTGTGCGGCTCGCCTGCGCACGCTGTTGCTGGTCTGGGACCTTGCAGATGTAAGGCTCCCTTCTCCTCTAAAATAGAGGCAGTAGCGCTGCTTGAAGGCTTCGTTCTCCACTAAACTAGTCCAGAGATTCCGTTCTGCTTTAAAAGAGAGGCAGCAGCTCCTCCCTTCCCCTCTAAAATAGAGGGAGGAGCTCCGTGTCAAGGCTCCCTTCTCCTCTAAAATAGAGGCGCAACGACAAAGAGCCTCTGTTCTCGCCTAAAATAGAGGCATTCCGTCCTCCGCGACAGAGATTCCGTTCTGCTCTAAAATAGAGCCAGTCGCGTAGTTTGCGGGCTCCCTTCTCCTCTAAAATAGAGGGAGGAGCTCCGTGTCAAGGCTCCCTTCTCCTCTAAAATAGAGGCGCAACGACAAAGAGCCTCTGTTCTCCTCTAAAATAGAGGTATTCCGTCCTCCGCGGCAGAGACTCCGTTCTGCTCTAAAATAGAGGCAGTAGCTCAGTTTGACGGCTCCCTTCTCCTCTAAAATAGAGGCCGTCGCTCTGTTTGAAGGCTTCGTTCTCCTCTAAACTCGTCCAGAGATTCCGTTCTGCTGTAAAATAGAGGCAGTAGCTCCTCCCTTCTCCTCTAAAATAGAGGGAGGAGCTCCGTGTCAAGGCTCCCTTCTCTTCTAAAAATAGAGGCGCAACGACAAAGAGCCTCTGTTCTCCTCTAAAATAAAGGCATTAAGAGGCAGCAGCTCCTCCCTTCTCTTCTAAAATAAAGGGAGGAGCTCCGTGTCAAGGCTCCCTTCTCCTCTAAAATGGAGGCGCAACGACAAAGAGCTTCTGTTCTCCTCTAAAATAGAGGCATTCCGTCCTCCGCGACAGAGATTCCGTTCTGCTCTAAAATAGAGGCAGTAGCTCTGTTTGAAGGCTTCGTTCTCCTCTAAACTCGTCCAGAGATTCCGTTCTGCTTTAAAATAGAGGCAGTAGCTCCTCCCTTCTCCTCTAAAATAGAGGGAGGAGCTCCGTGTCAAGGCTCCCTTCTCCTCTAAAATAGAGGCGCAACGACAAAGAGCCTCTGTTCTTTTCTAAAATAGAGAGGCATTAAGAGGCAGCAGCTCCTCCCTTCTCCTCTAAAATAAAGGGAGGAGCTCCGTGTCAAGGCTCCCTTCTCCTCTAAAATAGAGGCGCAACGACAAAGAGTCTCTGTTCTCCACTAAAATAGAGGTATTCCGTCCTCCGCGACAGAGACTCCGTTCTCCTCTAAAATAGAGGCCGTCGCTCTGTTTGAAGGCTTCGTTCTCCTCTAAACGAGTCCAGAGATTCCGTTCTGCTTTAAAATAGAGGCAGTAGCTCCTCCCTTCTCCTCTAAAATAGAGGGAGGAGCTCCGTGTCAAGGCTCCCTTCTCCTCTAAAATAGAGGCGCAACGACAAAGAGCCTCTGTTCTCCTCTAAAATAGAGGCATTCCGTCCTCTGCGACAGAGATTCCGTTCTGCTCTAAAATAGAGCCAGTAGCTCAGTTTCACGGCTCCCTTCTCCTCTAAAATAGAGGCCGCTCTGTTTGAAGGCTTCGTTCTCCTCTAAACTAGTCCAGAGATTCCGTTCTGCTTTAATGTAGAGGCAGTAGAGCTCCTCCCTTCTCCTTTAAAATAGAGGGAGGAGCTCCGTGTCAAGGCTCCCTCTGTTCTCCTCTAAAATAGAGGCATTAAGAGGCAGCAGCTCCTCCCTTCTCCACTAAAATAGAGGGAGGAGCTCCGTGTCAAGGCTCCCTTCTCCTCTAAAATAGAGGCGCAATGACAAAGAGCCTCTGTTCTCCTCTAAAATAGAGGCATTCCGTCCTCCGCGACAGAGATTCCGTTCTGCTCTAAAATAGAGGCAGTAGCTCACTTTGACGGCTCCCTTCTCCTCTAAAATAGAGGCGCAACGACAAAGAGCCTCTGTTCTCCTCTAAAATAGAGGGATTCCGTCCTCCGCGACAGAGACTCCGTTCTGCTCTAAAATAGAGGCAGTAGCTCAGTTTGACGGCTCCCGTCTCCTCTAAAATAGAGGCCGTCGCTCTGTTTGAAGGCTTCGTTCTCCTCTAAACTCGTCCAGAGATTCCGTTCTGCTTTAAAATAGAGGCAGTAGCTCCTCCCTTCTCCTCTAAAATAGAGGGAGGAGCTCCGTGTCAAGGCTCCCTTTCTCTTCTAAAATAGAGGCGCAACGACAAAGAGCCTTTGTTCTCTTCTAAAATAGAGGCATTAAGAGGCAGCAGCTCCTCCCTTCTCCTCTAAAATAAAGGGAGGAGCTCCGTGTCAAGGCTCCCTTCTCCTTTAAAATAAAATAGAGGCATTCCGTCCTCCGCGACAGAGATTCCGTTCTGCTCTAAAATAGAGGCAGTAGCTCTGTTTGAAGGCTTCGTTCTCCTCTAAACTCGTCCAGAGATTCCGTTCTGCTTTAAAATAGAGGCAGTAGCTCCTCCCTTCTCTTCTAAAATAGAGGGAGGAGCTCCGTGTCAAGGCTCCCTTCTCCTCTAAAATAGAGGCGCAACGACAAAGAGCCTCTGTTCTCCTCTAAAATAGAGGCATTAAGAGGCAGCAGCTCCTCCCTTCTCCTCTAAAATAGAGGGAGGAGCTCCGTGTCAAGGCTCCCTTCTCCTCTAAAATAGAAGCGCAATGACAAAGAGCCTCTGTTCTCCTCTAAAATAGAGGCATTCCGTCCTCCGCGACAGAGATTCCGTTCTGCTCTAAAATAGAGGCAGTAGCTCAGTTTGACGGCTCCCTTCTCCTCTAAAATAGAGGCCGTCGCTCTGTTGAAGGCTTCGTTCTCCTCTAAACTCGTCCAGAGATTCCGTTCTGCTTTAAAATAGAGGCAGTAGCTCCTCCCTTCTCCTCTAAAATAGAGGGAGGAGCTCCGTGTCAAGGCTCCCTTCTCCTCTAAAATAGAGGCGCAACGACAAAGAGCCTCTGTTCTCCTCTAAAATAGAGGCATTCCGTCCTCCGCGACAGAGATTCCATTCTGCTCTAAAATAGAGCCAATAGCTCTGTTTGACGGCTCCCTTCTCCTCTAAAATAGAGGCCGTCGCTCTGTTTGAAGGCTTCGTTCTCCTCTAAACTAGTCCAGAGATTCCGTTCTGCTTTAATGTAGAGGCAGTAGCTCCTCCCTTCTGCTCTAAAATAGAGGGAGGAGCTCCGTGTCAAGGCTCCCTTCTCCTCTAAAATAGAGGCGCAACGACAAAGAGCCTCTGTTCTCCTCTAAAATAGAGGCATTCCGTCCTCCGCGACAGAGATTCCGTTCTGCTCTGAAATAGAGGCAGTAGCTCAGTTTGACGGCTCCCTTCTCCTCTAAAATAGAGGCCGTCGCTCTGTTTGAAGGCTTCGTTCTCCTCTAAACTAGTCCAGAGATTCCGTTCTGCTTTAATGTAGAGGCAGTAGAGCTCCTCCCTTCTCCTCTAAAATAGAAGGAGGAGCTCCGTGTCAAGGCTCCCTTCTCCTCTAAATTAGAGGCGCAATGACAAAGAGCCTCTGTTCTCCTCTAAAATAGAGGCATTAAGAGGCAGCAGCTCCTCCCTTCTCCTCTAAAATAGAGCTCCGCGACAGAGATTCCGTTCTGCTCTAAAATAGAGGCAGTAGCTCAGTTTGACGGCTCCCTTCTCCTCTAAAATAGAGGCCGTCGCTCTGTTTGAAGGCTTCGTTCTCCTCTAAACTCGTCCAGAGATTCCGTTCTGCTTTAAAGAAGAGGCAGTAGCTCCTCCCTTCTCCTCTAAAATAGAGGGAGGAGCTCCAGTGTCAAGGCTCCCTTCTCCTCTAAAATAGAGGCGCAACGACAAAGAGCCTCTGTTCTCCTCTAAAATAGAGGCATTAAGAGGCAGCAGCTCCTCCCTTCTCCTCTAAAATAGAGGGAGGAGCTCCGTGTCAAGGCTCCCTTCTCCTCTAAAATAGAGGCGCAACGACAAAGAGCCTCTGTTCTCCTCTAAAATAGAGGCGCAACGACAAAGAGTACGCAACGGTCATAAGCAGAGAGGGAAGGAACAGAGAGAGCG